TGTTTAGTGCAACAGCTACACCCTTCTTGCACTTGTTCTTTTTCAGCTATTTATTAATAAGTGACTTTTATGTATATATATATATGCCTGTATATATGGTGCTATTCTTAGTTAGTGTATTGTCTGTCTTTGTTAATGTTTGTTTATAATGGAGCACTGTAACAAAAAATAATTTCCCCCAGGGATCAATAAAGTATTGATTCTGATTAACATGCGATCATGTCCTTTCATTATTTAGCTGTCTGCGTACATTTTCGTATGTTTTTAGAACTCACCTGTTTAAATTGTAATAAGGCAATATTAGGGGCGTGGCCTCATTGAGTGACAGGTGGATGGTTAAACTCTGCTAATTTTAGGCCCCAAACCGGACATCTGGACCGTGTTTGTGCTGTTGGAGCATTTTTAATGACATTATCTGACCAGTAGCACGGCTCTTTTTATATACACCCCGTCTCTGATGTAGATTATTCTCTTTGGCAGGTTCTTCAGGTTGGCTCAGTTGGCCACAAAGAAACAGAAACTTTGCATGTTGAAGACACTTTGATGACATTTAATGCTGAGGCAGTACAGACACAGTGAACTAAAAGCGCCACGTCCTTCTTCATCACCACCACCATGAAACAAAGAGACAAAGACAGAGAGACAGTTAGCAGCTGAGCGTCCTGCAGGACTTCAGGTCACTTCAGAGATAATACTGATTGATCAGTCAGGTTACAGATTGTATTATGCTGTTTATATACTGATTATTATTATTGTTAGAATAACAGAATGAGTAATTCAGAAGCTGTTTAATACACATTAACGGAGCAGTCCCTCACTTCAGGACCCCCAGTCTTTACTGCACAGACATGTTAGCAACGATCAGCATCTGTTAGTATTAGTTAGCAGCTCAGCAGCCTGCTTACTGTTTATCAGGATGACTGATGTACCCGTATTAATAGTGACTAAACAGTATGTGCATCACATTATAGTTGAAAATAATGAAAACCTCCTAATCTAACTTCTTAGAGGTGTTCGGTGTCCACGTTAGATTTAGTCTGTCGCGGTCTACAGCAGGCTAACAGTTTCCCCTCGGCTTCAGCCTCTGTGCTAAACTATGCTAACATCATAGGTTGGATTGAATTAAATTCCTCGTCTTTACCCATCTCTGAGACGGGAACGTGAGGTTTCTGAAAATGCTGCGTTGTTCTTTAAATCTGAGGACAGAAGACCCAGAACGGTTTCCTGAGGAACGCCACACCCACTGGGAGGTTTCCTGAAGTGGTGGATCGGTCCTTTAATATTTTTTGCTACAGGGAGTTAATAGTTAACACTATTAAAGTCCACATGATTGTTTAGGGTCCAGGTCTAGTGTTCAGGTCCAGATCCGGGTCCAGAATTTCATCTGGCTCTTGTTCTGTCCAGGGACACAGAGGACTACAGATCTCATTCAGCAGTTACAAACAAGAAAAAGTTGTGGTCCAGGTCTTTACAGGGTTCAGGAGCCTGTTAATGATGTCACCATCAGTCAGCCAGAGCTATGCCTGAACACAGAGACGTGGACAGGAAGTCTGGATTCAGGTGCTCTGGTTCAGTTCAGGCTGATTTGTTTGCTTCCACGTCTTCTAGTTTCCCTCTACTAGGAAAAAACAAACAAACACGAGAATCTCTAATTCAAGAGTGGGATCCAGACCAGGATCGAGACCCAGATTCAGACCCGGATGTGTTCAGTTTGTAGAAAATCTGGTAGAATAAATGATGGTTAAAGATCAGATTCACTCCCCTCCGAAACAGGAAACACTATATGAAGACTTCCTGTGTCCATAAAAGGTCCTACATCTCTCAGCAACTGGAATGGTGCTGTTGCTGGAGGGCAGTAACCGTGACAACCAGCCTCAGGACTTGTTGTCATCGTAGAGGTCGAGCGAAGCCTGTATATCCGGAAGCTCCATCTCACAGATGACGCTGCGAGGAGACATGGAGTTCCTGCTGAAGAAGCGACCGCCGCCTGGAAGGACAGAAGAACGTCCATCAGAGTTAATTCACTCAGCAGCAGATGCAGACGCATAACTCTTTACTTTTCAGTTTTACTTTGGTTGCTGGATAACGTTGCTCAGTTGCACTGTAAACTTGTTGCTCTACATCCACATGAAGTTGTCTTTTACTTGCCTAGAACATTTATTTGCAGTGACAGTGAATTACAGATGTTGTCTTTACTCTGTTGTCGTGTCACTTACTGGTCACGGCGATAGTGATATCGGCAGGTGTTCTGGGCGTGGCCTCAGAGTGGGTGGGGCTGAGTGGCTCGAGGCTGATGGATGGCTGGTTGTTGTCACTAAGGGGCGCCCTCTGGCTGCCAGGTGCCTGACTGGCACCGAGACGATCCACATCCAACACAACGCTGTCCACACAGGGAACACTGGTCTGAGGACAGACAGAGGCAGTCACTCCCAGGTATAATTCAGACACACCTGATGTCTTATAGATGGAAATTTTCTTCTTCAGAAACACTGCGTTGCATCATTGATGCAGCCTGCACTTTTATTTCCAGGGCTTAACAAAGGGAAAAGTTCTGTGTCTAAATACATATTTAAGCAAGAATATTTCCTATAATTGATCAAACTAAAACAGACAAATGCACGAATTCCAGTGTTCTACCATCCATCCATCATCCATGCATCCATCCATCCATCGTCTCCTTCTTTACACTTCAGATACTTAACAAGTCTGAGTTATAATTGACAGTGCAAACCAAAGTCTTGGGACTGAGTGGCCTGTAATAACAAGCCAGATACCCCAAATTCCTGAAACAACATCACAGAGCGTCGCAAGAGATGCTGTCAAACACATTCTCAAAGCCCACAAAGCACACATGGAAAAGCTATTGTACACTCTCAAATATCCCTAAAAGGATAAAAAAACAAAAAAAACAAACCACGTTGCTCTTCTTCAATCCAAATGTCATTTCGACTCTCCTGACTTCCTGTTGTAGCTGATGAGTGGGATAAATAAACGTGCACATATGCAGTTTGTCCCATTTCAGTTAGAGAAAGGCTTATTGGTTTTTTGCAGTTTTATTGGACAAAGCATCACAACTTTGATGCTTTTAAAAGCAATGTGCTTTTTACAATAAAAATATTTACGTTTGCTCATGAATACAGCTTTACTGTAAATGCAAATGATATTTGTCAGCCTACAAAGATGAATTTTGAGTTTTTGATTAGACAGTAGGTATTCAGTGAAGTAACGCTGTGTGCAGACAGCAGATTGCTACAGTCTGAATATTGGTTCAACGCAGTGAATCACAAGAACTTAATCGATGCAAAGCAGGAATGGAAAACTGAACCTTTGCTAGCAAAGCTGCAGCTTCACATGGAGCAGTCTGGACCAGCTTTATCTTTTCTTAAAAGAACAATAGGTTGTTCTCAGAGTTTGTCAAAGAGCGTTTGGTGGACTCTGTCATGCTAAAAAGAAACATTTTAGATAGTGCCTCTTCAGGTGGACTGATGACACTGCAGGAGATCTGGAGCTCCAGCTGAAAAATAAAGCGGACGCTAGCTCTGGACGAGAGCTGCGATGTCTGTGACGCCGCCCAGGTGAAGGATAACCAAAGAGCTCAAGACTGTGAGGAGCTGGCAGCAATGCACTCAGTGAAAGGACTGCAGGGAGGAACGTGATCATGCAGGTGTGTTTGTAGAGTCGGGGGCTGGAACGGAATAAACTGGCAGGTGTTCAAAATGTCAAATCTAAAAATCAGCAATGCTGAAGACTGGTGCTGTTTTTATTTTTTTGTCCCAGAGAGGAGAACTGTCCACACGTCAGGAGACATTAACTCTCTTTGGAGAAAAACTTTCTCAGTGATGAAACAGTGACAATCACACATCTGCTATCCTTCACATTTCCACCTCAGACATTGACCTTAATGTTCAAGCCCAGAACTGATGAGATTTTTCTCCCTGAACAAGACAAAGAGCTCAGAAATGCAGACAAAGTCATTCAACTACAAGCAAAACGTGGATAAAGTTAAAAGTCTTTAACATTTAGTAGAAAAATGCACATAAATGCAAACAGTGAGGAAATGTTGGTCTCTTTACCTACCTCACATTTCTGTTACCTCACTGTAAAATCTACCCTATCAGCAGAAAGACATCGAAATAATACCGAGTTCAGCTGCAACCATCCGCAACAGACCCAGTTTCTCACGTTAGCCAAGCTTGGTGTACGGTGAGGGCACGTCAGCCTGGTGTGAACGCTGGTTTGGATTACAACACATCTGGGTGTCTCTGTCTTTGTGTGTCAAACATGCCCATGTGTCAGCGAGGACTCACCGTGATGCCGAGAGCTTTGAGGATGTTCAGTTTGCACATGGGGCAGGTGCAGTGCTCCTTCAGCCAGGGGTCCACGCATGCTTTATGAAAGACGTGTCTGCAAAGACACAGGCGTGTTATCAAAAAACATCACGCTACGTGTTATCAGCACGACATTAGACATAGTAGACAGAACGAGGAAGAGTTCATAAAACACTTAATTACAGAGCCAGACTGGTTTGAGACTGGAGAGCCTGCAGTAACAAGGTCAGACTCACTTGCAGGGCAGAATTCGAACCACATCGTTCAGCTGGTACACTTCGATGCACACCGCACAGTGGTTTGACTCTGTGTCCTACACACACACACACACACACACACAGAGGAAACAGGTCAGAGCTTTGCAGTGATGTTGTCTCTGCTGGTTCTGATAGTGGAGGGGTGGGGAACTCCAGGCCTCGAGGGCTGTATCCTGCAGGTTTTAGATGTGTCATTGATCCAACACAGCTGGCTTAAATGGCTAAATGACCTCCTCAAAATGTGTTGAAGTTCTCCAGAGGCCTGGTAATGAACTAATCATGTGATTCAGGTGTGCTGACCCAGGGTGAGATCTAAAACCTGCAGGACACCCACTCTCGAGGACTAACGTTCCCTACCCCTGTGATAGTGGCTTGCAGTCTTTCTGATTTATGTTTCTCCTCTGAACAACATCATTGCTGTTTCATCTGAACGTCAGCGACACGTTAACCAAACGGCTGTGAGGAAACCAGATGTTCACATGCTGCATTCAAAGAACGAGGATGTGAAGGATCCGGACGCTGAGCTCATTGTCTATGAACGAGTGAGGTGGAAACTTCATCGAGCAAAAACCTTTCTCAGACAGTTCTGCTCCAGCAGCTCTCTTTCCACGTGTTACAGCTCTGCAGAGGCCGTCACTCGCTGCCTGAAAGCTCACGTAAATTTAACCTTCTGGGTTTCGGAGCCTCATTCACGGGTCCTACATCACATGTGAAGGAGAAACAGCCAACACATGTGCTCACCTTGTCTCCTTTTTTCACCGTCCTCGTCTTCAGCTTTCCGATGGCTTTCTTCGCTGCATCTCCAAGACGATGCTGACATAGTGAGAGGACAGAGTGTTAGAGTCACAAACATTTCCAGGATTTCAGTTTTGATTCTTTGTGAAATGTGTTCTGATCCGAGTCACACGACTAAACAAACTTCATCTTTACCAAGTCAGTCAGTGAACCTCTGAGCTAATGTGTTCTTCTGAAGCTACCTGGACTCAGAGTCTGCTCTTCTACAGAAAGACTGACTTTCATTGGCCCTTTGAAGAAGCTGCTTAAAGATCAGGCAGGAAACACCAAAAAAAGAGGAACATCTGAGTAACAGCTGTAAATGTGTGTCAAATGAAGAATGCTTTCATGAAGCGCACCGTGAAGGAAACTGCTGGTTTCCAAACAAACACGGCTCGGGTTTGGAAACACCAACACGGCAGGCAGGGCCATGTTGGAGGTGGAAAACGAATCAAACTATATGAACAAAAGTCCCAGAAGAACATCGGGGGAGCAGAACATGAGAAGAGGGGCGGTCAGCTGGTACAGAAATAGAGTAAAGAAGAAAGTTAACCCTTCAGAGGGCTGATTGATCAGTCCTCGCAGGAAATACTGATGAGGTGAAGGAAGGATCTCAAAGTGACAACAGGAAGTGTCTGAAGGAGGTTTCTCCAGCTGGACTGAGTGAGATCAGGGCGATCGATCGCTGAAGAGCCCGACAGACTGTTTATCAGACCGTGTTTCTCTCTCCGCTCAGGAGCAGAAATCCTGGAAGCTCAGAGTCTTCACAGGAGGAGGAGGACAACACTCACATCAGCGGATATCACAGACTCGGGTACCTGAATGCAGCATCAGCCCGCGGCTAACGTGTTACCTGGCTGCGGTCGCGAGTGCTCGTGTAGCGGATCTTCTGGATGAAGTGAAAGATGAGCCAAGCTGACGAAATGATCATGAGGATGATGAAGGAGATGGAGACGAAGACCAGCGAGCCTCGGTTGATGTTCTTGGTGGGCCCGCGCTGACCAACGACCACGGAGACCAGAACCGTCATGTTCCGCTCAAGGTGGGCCAGGATCTCTTTACCGTACGCCTCTGTGATCATCACCGCCACGATGTCACCCGTGCCTGCAAACAGAATCAGAAACAGGGTGGCAGCAGGGACGGGGACGCCGTGTTAACAGTCATACAGTAAAGTGTACTGGGTGTACTGGCTTTAATGGGTTGACCACACGGTACAAGTTTAAAAGTGTTTGCAAAAACAAAAGCGTGTGTATCATGAGCGCTTAAACACAGCAGTTACTCTGGTGACGGTCTCTGCTCAGACGCTTCAGATCATTTAAACACTGCGTCGCAGTTCTTCTGTTAAAAACTGCTCGATGTTCGTTAAACCCAGACTCCAGGTCAGATTATCGAATCAGCCCAACATAACACTGTGAACCCTGATCTCAGACCAGCTGAAATCTGAGTGTTGGATTTGTATTGTTTATCATTTATGCTTAGAAATATCTACTTATATATGCTTAGAGTTTTATAATTAGTTTTAGATTGGTAGAGGTTTGATCCTTAACAGTCTGCAGAGACATTGTGTGCATTCCAGAGTGTTCTGGCTTTCACACCCACATTCTGGGAGCATGGG